GGCTCTGAGGGAGAGTGAAGAGTAAAATTATTCGCTTATTCAAATAAAGGGAGATAGCAGGCTTTTATATAGGAGTAATTAGGATTTTTAAGTCATTATGATGTTCAAGTATGCGCTATCACGTGAACAGCTTCACTATCTAACTTTCTTATTTGGATATGAAAAAGCGCTTTTGTTTTATATGCATGTGTAGCGCAGTAATTTCAGTTTAAGTGTGGCGTCCTTTTAAGATTTTCGTATGTATCTCATCGATACAAGTATATATTGTGAATTTGACAGGACATTCTCTTACCTAATAATCCTAATAAACCTACACTGACAAGAAAGAAAGTCATCACACATGATCAACAAGTAAACGTAAGGTGTGGTACTGTAGGAATTGTCCTTACCTCATCCTGACAAACGCAGATGTGGAACATGAGAAAACACGACTACGGACCAAATGCAGTGGATACTTTTATCATACCTCACTTATATTGCGTTGAATAAAATTTATAGTATCTTAAATAATACCCTGTTGGGCTGTTCTCCTGTAAATCAACTATTTCATTCAATAATCTTCCATTTATTATTATTATTTGTTATTTATCCCTTGGGTTCCTTATGCAACATAAGGCTTCAGTAGCACGTCGCCATTTTACTCTGTTCTCTCCAATCTTTTTAATTTGCCTCCACCACTGCTCACAAGCTTTCATTTCTTCCTCACATGATCTTCTCCATGTCACCCTCGCCTCGAACGCCTAACTCGTCGTTTACCATTCTTATTCCACCTGACGGCCTGGCGTGACGCATGATGTCCCGAAACGGTCTTCTCAGTGTATGTCCAGTTCAATCCAATCCATCTCCACTTATTTTTTTGCATATTTGCTGGGTGATAGGTTCTTGGTTGGTTCGTTGCCAGGCCAGAGTTCCTCCTTGCTTATGCTTTCTGGCCATCTGATCTTCATAACTGAGTATAGGCAGCTGTTGATGTATAATGTCTGTAATTTGTTGGAAATGCTTTTCGTAACGCACCAAGTCTGTGAACCACATAAAAGCATTGATTTGATACTGGTGTTGAAAATCCGGATCTTATAACGCTTTATGCTGAGTGCAGTGCAGTGCAGTGGATCTCCACACTGATTTCAGGTTAATGAAGACCTGTCTTGCTGTCTTTCTGATTCTGGCTCTGACATCCTCATCTGTGCCGCTGCCTGTTTTTTACGATAATACATCCATCTAGCAAACAGGTTGAATCTGTATGCTTGTCACATATTACAACTACGTCGTCAACATGTCTCTTATAAATCGTATCTTTTTTTAATGAGATCACTAACCAAACTTTTTATGCATGACAAGTAAAAATCAACTAACAGTAATCTTAGGGGAATCCGATCACCGCACTATATCACTATATAGACCATTTGGACTAGCAGGGAACTGAAGTTTACAATAACCTTGTTCACCTTAAAATGGAATACTTTCTACCACTGAGCTTTTCCCATCTTCTTTGACGAAAGTGTAGTCATAATCTAGAGACTGCAAAGTAGTAGATCAACATATTAGAAGATAAATAATCATTGGAATGATTAAAACTGAAGTAATTCGTGTAAAATACATAGAATTAAAAAGGTAGTGATGCACAGATTTTAACTAGGTCGTTATTTTGTTAAACTGTGTTGAGTATGTATTGACTGGTCAAGAGAGTGCAACCAATTCCATGTTGTCTAGTCCTCAGTGCAGACCGAATCCTATCAATCATATTTGCAATGTGGCAACCAAGCTACGAAGCTCAGCATCGCGGTGCACATTAGTGGATGTTAGTTGGTTAGAGGCAATCGGCAGGAAGCCTTGGGCCTAGGTTTGCGCTCAGGACTAGACAACATGAAATTGGTTGCACGCCCGTGACCAATCAATACATATGAGCCAGTCCTACAGGAGGTCAATCGCTGCCCGGACAGCTCAGTGGTGAAGTCGCTGACTACAACACTGGGTGCGCGGGTTCGAATCTCAGGTGAGACACCAGTTCCGTCGAGGTGGCAGATATGCCTTGCTGATGAGTGCCGAAAGCGCGAAACCTAGGTCCAGGTCTTCCTGCTGATTGTCTCCAACTAACTAACATCTACTAATGTGCTGAGTATGCATGCATGCACGTTTCTATTAAGAAGTCAGATTTACAAAGTTAACTGCATCACTACTCAATATTGTTGGTGGATAATAGTTAAGAGTAGAATTCAGGACGCGCGTTTCATTCCACCTGGGAGTCATCAGCTGAATGTTCCTAGCTTATAGTAAAGGGTACAGTTCTTACTAATATTCTAACGTAACACAAATCACTTCAAACACCAGTAGCATTAGGTACTGAACTACTGATTCGTGACAGGTAGTCGTTATGCGATGGTTATAGATTTTATGTTATAGGCTTGTAAATTCCCGCCGTTCATTGCACTGAATTGATCGGCCATAATTGATGTATGGGCTTCTGTGCAGATGCATCAATATTTCTAGTGATTTCTGTTTGACAGTAATGTTGGATAGTGTTTGGTAGTAGAAACCGGTACATATTTTTCGTCTTGTTTGAAGCTCGTCAACTGCAATTACTTGTCTCTTGATGAGTGGTGTTCTCCACATTGAATATTTCTGTACCTATGAATGTTAAATACAGTGATAAAGGTTTATAGCTAGATGCTATATAGTCTGAAATCAATTACAGGAAATGAAAAGCAGCAGTAATCATAAGTTTTACCTCTAAGTTAAAGATAAAGACCGTGAATTCAGACAAGGATATACAATATTCTAATTATTGAATAATGTGTTATTCACCTCGATAAGTATGTAAGATGTAGAATGACTCTGAAGGTCATTCTAGCAACTACTACAATAACCAATTAACTTTCTCTGTTTTATAAAAAAAAGCTACTTTTTCTGCTGAAAAAGAGAAACCTAATTGGCTATTTAAGTGATTGTTAGGGTGACCTTTAGAGTCACTCAGAATGTAACCAATTAAATTTGAGTTGAGACCTGTTAAGTCATTTTTAGTTGTTGTTGTTGTCCACAATGTCGCATACCATCGTTAAATAGGCATTACTATAAATAGACTTTAGAGTAGGTACTTCACTAATGATTGTAAAAGGCAATGAAATCAGTAACCGTAAGGTTTTATTCACTAGAAAGTAAATATATGTATGGAATAAGCTTAGATGAACGACTTCTACTTCTGTGGTTACCTCTTGTTCAAATGTATAAACTATTAAATAAAAATTTAACGATATTTTAATAATAATAATAATAATGATCGCCTCATTCCAAACAATATATATGACAGTATGAAATTCGCAGCATGTAATTTTTCAATAAATTTACTCGCAGAACAACAATACTTTCAGACCAAAGGGTTATTGCATCTGCTAGATGTTAACAATAACAGTATTCAAGGCAAATAATATGAAATAGCCAGTTGGTTCTGCATAGGCATCCGATCCATAATGAAAAATCAACAGAAATTCGAGCGTAATTTTGATGATGGTCGTGGTTCATTCACACGGTAAAAAGTCTGCAACTCAAGCTATGCATCTGATAGACAGAAATATGATGTGCTTTTTTGCACTGAAAAGTCCATTTTCATTTAACGCAACGTTTTTTTCTCTGCTTTTCTTATTAACTCGAGAAAAGGAGAGTTGAAAACAGTGATCAAACCAAAATTTTGAATTGTCTATGTGGACTACCCTTTTGTCATCATTGAAAAAGATAATATAGAAAACACCCACAATTGAATCAAAAACGTTTTCAATGACATCAAATTCACATTGAAGAAGGAGTCAAACAACCAACTATCATTCCTGGATGTTTAGCAGTAGAACAAATGCCGGAAAGCTGGAAACCGAAGTGTACAGGAAGCCAACACACACTGACCAAATCCTCAACTACAATAGCAACAACCAAACAACACACAAGATCAGTTGCATGTAGACTCTCTTCAGAAGAGCGAGAACATATTGCAGTACAACAACTTCATGGAGAAACGAAGAAAATTAGTTAATGTCCATCCTAAAGAAGAACGGCTACCCACGAAACTTTATCAGAAGATGCCTATCCCGTACATCATCAACTACAAAGTCATCGACACAAATCAATAATCGCATCATCCTACCATACATAAAGAATATATCAGAAATCACGACAAGATTACTGAAACCACTTGTAGCTCATAAACCAACAAATTCCCTCCAAACACTATTATGCAGAGCAAGGGATGCAACAAGCAAAGGAGACAAACCAAACATCATTTACAAAATCAACTGCAATAACTGTAGTCAACACCACATTCATTCGACAAAGTGGTCACCCTCTTCACCTTCATCTACATGAACACCAATTGGCTATTAAACGCCACGACATTTCATCACTCATTTCGACTATGTAGGAATTTTGGACAGAGGAAACACAAAAGATATCAGAGAATTCCTAGAAGCTTGGCATTCAGGTCAGTCAGTCAGCAATCAATAGATGTATAGACATAGACCCAATCTATCAACCAATAAGAAAATTGATGAACGACAGAAAGGTCAGAGGTGAAGCAGAGGAACAGCCAACGGGAAAATCTATACAGTCAGTGAATGACACAACAATCGAAGGAAACAACCAATCACAGACCATATGGTCAGAGCAAGCTACTAAATCACTCACGGAGAGATATTGACAGGTCACTTCATACTGAAGTTAGTGCTGTGGATGATGTCGTCTAGAAGGATGATGAAAGCTTCATGATTACACAATCCAGCTCAGGGAACACAATACAACCAAGACAGTTTAAAAATGTGTATGAGTATATGATACGTTCAAGGGACATACTTGAATGGATAAAATAAATTGAAGGAAAAGAATTAGATGAAAAATGTTCGAGGAATAAATTTAGTAGCACAAAGTTTAAGCAGGCCGCCGGTTTATTTTTAGTTTGTTTTAAAAGAAAATTACGTTGAATTTTTTTTGATATTCTTGATTTTTTGTTGTTGTAAATACAGGAGACACACAAAGAATTGTTCACCATTTTATCAAAAATGATGAAGATTAATCCAAATGAGCGTATAACCTTTGAGTAAGTTGCTTATTTCAATTGAATTATCAAGTGAAAACTCTATCATGTTCAGTTACTAGTAAAAAAAATTAATTTAAAACTAGGAATTTGATCTATTTTTAGTAAAAAAAACAGTCATTATGTGGTGGACTGCAGTGCTATGTCACTTCGCCTAATGGCGATATGCCAAGACTTGATCAATAAACTTTGATACCACTTATAAACATAAACGACTAGGTAGCCATATTCAATCAATCAATCATTATCAACGTAGGACCGGGCATTACTGCGTAACGGTCCGAGTTGCCACACCTCACGTCAGTTCATCAAGTAGAAAGGTAGTGAGGTGAAGGATGAAGATAAGTGAATGCAGTCGAAAGAAATATAAAGTACGAGAAGAAAGGAAGGAGGAACGACAAAATAGTGAGATTCGGTATAGTTTAGTTAAGATTAGGATAATGTGTATATACATGTGAGCCAGTGACATCGGTTCTCAGCCATATCACCTAGGGTCTCCAACCACTGGTTCCTCTTGTCCCGTGGACCCCAACCACCTAGTCTGCATCGTCCTACATGGCTTAAACCAATAGTCAGAGACTTCATACATTGGTGCCATGTTTTAGTCTGGCCACCTCGGGCCTTTTTCCAGCCTGGACCCACCTCAGCCAACATTGTGTGACGAGGCAATCGGTGACTAGGCATACGTAGTACGTGTCCCAACCATCTCAGTCGATGAAGGTTCACAACCTCGTCAACTGACTTACCTCTTCTCCCCAAAACTCTACACCTGACTTCTGCATTACTCACATGGTGACACCACGGAATACGTCCTATACTACGAAGGCAACGGTGGTCAAACACCTGAAGCCTTTTTATATCTTCCACTTTCAATGGCCATGTTTCACAGCCATACAGTAGAACAGAGCGGACTGCTGTGCAGTACACGCGACCCTTAATAGACAAACGAATATCACGGCGGCGCCATAGGTGGCGCAAATTGGCAAAAGCCAATCGAGCCTTTTGTATCCGTGCAGAAATCTCATCGGCAACTAACCCACCAGGGTTGATCCTACTTCCCAGGTAAGTGAAGTGGTCAACACACTCAACCACTTCACTCTCTATTGTTAACCGCGGTACCGCTGAAGACCAGTCCTGGAGCAAAAATTTGCATTTGGGTGGTGAAAATCGCATCCCAAACATTCTCAAATTCCCACTCAAAGTGTTCAGAAGACTCTGCATCTCATCAGTCAGCGTCTTCACCTAACAGGACTATGTCATCTGCATATTCTAGATCTAAAGAAAATTCACCTGTGATTGGGTCAACGTCTTGTAATTAGGTGACGAGAGGGAAACCTCCATAAGAATATCTATGATAAAATTAAATAAGAATGGGGATAGTGGGCATCCTTGACGGACACCACTTGATGAGTATAGCTCCCTGGACAACTCGCCATAGGCTCTAACATGCCCACAAGTGTTCGAGTAGAGAGCTTTCAATAAGGTGATGTACTTACTAGGCACGCCTTTCAGTGACAGACATTGCCATAAGACTTCTCGATCAACGGAGTCAAATGCCGCCTTCAGGTCGAGAAATACAGCTATTGTCGGGCGTCTGTAAGCATGCCTATGTTCCAGGACCTGGCGCAGTGTGAATATTTGGTCGATACATCCACGGCCAGGTCTAAAGCCTGCCTGGTTTTCTCGGGCTTGCTGTTCCCGAGCTCCACTCAGGCGTCGGAGAATTATAGAACTTAGGATCTTAGACACTATGTTCGTCAGGCTGATTCCTCTGTGGTTATCACAAGAGGACTTCTCGCCTTTCTTGAAGACTGGGATGATGAGTGACTTAGACCAGTCGGAGGGGATCGTATTTGATTCCCATATACTGGCTAACACTTCCGTTAGCCTGACTAAGAGAACTCTACCACCATTCTTGTATACCTCAGCAGGTAGTCCGTCTGGTCCTGCTGCCCTTCCCCGTTTCAGGCTACCTACCGCTTTCTCAACTTCTTCTAGTGTTGGGGGACCTGTCTCTATGTCCCATTCAGGGTCCGACTGGATAGCGGGCAGCGCAATGGTGGCTGGAGGCCAGTTAAACTGTTCCTCAAAGTGTTCTGCCCATCGTCCCAGTCGCCTTCCCTGCGAGTGAATCGCAGATCCGTCCTTCTCCGCTATAACCTCACTAACTGTTGTTGACCATTTCCCCCCAGTCTCCTTAATAAGTCTAAATAACTGTCTACTGTTACCGATCGCCGCTGCCTTTTCCATCTCTTTAGCCTTTGCTGCCCACCACTGTTCACGATCGTTGCGCAGACTTTTCGTCAGTTATTTTTAAGTTGCGCTCGCTCTTCATTGTACTCAGAGCCTGCAGGGATGCATTCACGTGCATCCATTAGTTTGGAAGAAGCTGCTGATATCCACTGGCTCTTTTTAGCCATTATCTTGGAGTCGGCTACAGTCTCCAGTGCTGCTTTTACAGTAGACTGAAGATGGCACCAAGCTTCTTCTGGATGAGTGACAGTCTTTTGTTCCGATAACTGCCTAGCCAACTTCTCACTGAACACGGCTTTGGTGTTTTCGTTGTCCAGCAGAACTCGTAGTGGTTTTGTTGCCAAATTTTTTCTACGTCCATTGAGACGCAGGCATATACGTGCTCGGACCAACGCATGATCGCTGTCCAAACACGTACTCCAGAAGGAGCGGCAGTCTTCCACCGATCCTCTCCAGCGATGACTAATAGCAATGTGGTCTATCTGTGTCCATCGCTGAGTCGAGCTCGGTGGACGCCAGGTCAGACAGTGCCTTTCTTTATGTCTGAAATTTGTGCTGGCTAAAAATAGGCGGTTATCTGAGCATAGTTGTAATAGGCGATCACCGTTATCTGTACGTTCAGCTGGGATTCCGAAAGTGCCACCTAAGTGCCTTTCTGCCTCACTCAGTCTACCCACCTGTGCGTTGAGGTCACCTGCAACAACCACTACGTCCGAACGTTTGGCTTTCGAGAGGAGGTTAGACAGTTTATGGTAGAACTCGTCCTTCACTTCATCCGAACTACAGTCAGTGGGTGCGTAAGCAGAGATTACAAAGAGACAACGGCGAGTCTCACTATTCCTTTTAGTTCTCACTGTGCCGTTCAGCCTCATAGCGCAGAGGCGACTATCAACTGGGATCCAGTCTAGTAGTGAGTTTTCTGCCCTGGTGCTTAATGCTATACCTACACCTGCAAGACCACGAGAGCTAGCTATCGAATCTCCAGAAACTCGAAGGGTGAATTTTGCAGATTCACCAGATTGGTCAGGAGAGGTCAGGTGAATAACCACACTTGGGTCCTGTATGCGTGTCTCACAAACACAGCACACATCCATGCCCGAGTTGCTAGAGTCTTTGCCAACGAAGCCTGTTGGCCAATTTGACGGAGGGTGCGGACATTGAAGGCTCCAATATGTAATTTGGAGCGTGGTTTAAGGAGACCAGGGATGCTGTTCTGTGGACTCAGATCGTTGTCGAAGGCTGCAGAGGTAGGAGAAATTGAAGATGATGCAGCATCATTAATTAAGAGACGTGAAGGAAGATTAGAAGGTAATGATGGAGGAGGAGGATAGCAGTCAGAAGAAACTTGGGTGCTGACAGAGTTGTGAGGGCGGTTGACACTTCCCGGCTGCCCACACCGTGGAAGGCTATTTCTTCTTAAGGTACCTGAAAGAGATTTGTGTGACCGCAGAGCCCATCGGACATCTGCTTGAGGCCTGTCACACCCAGCCTTTTGAGTATGATTATTTTGAACTTTTGTATTTTTGGGGCCGGATGGTCGAAAGGAAACGACAAGTGAACCAACACCGCCGGCCCGGCAGACCGTGGGGCGTGGTGGAGTGTGTTATTTTTGGGGCCGACCTTTTCTAACCCCCCCTTCCACTGAGAAGGCAGCATCAGCATGGCACTGCTGGTCATCCAAGGGAAACACCTTACTGCTGTCACACCCCATCCAGCTAGCAGCAGTACGACTTCGCCCTCAGACCCCCATCATAGTGTAGCAATTTACACTATAACGGTAACTGCTTTTCGTCTAACCACTACCCAACAGACCTTTCTGGTATGGTAGGACCTCGAGGGAACAAGCGTTCCACAGCATAGCTCGTTGGGTCATTGTGATATGCAAGCCCGACCACCACGTCAAGGTAGCAGCTATCGGTTGGGAGTAGCCACTAGTCACCAATACGTGTTCATAGTGCAGTCGTATAGGAATTTAGTCATAACCTCAGTAGCTTAGTAGTTCCAGGTGTGGCTTCAACACTGAATGATGTAGATTTGGCTTGTTGGTGAATACTGACAAGTATGAAATCTAAATGCAGTGCTCTTTACCGATTAACTCCTAGTATCTAACATGGAATAGTTTTTGTGTTAATAACTTTCATTGTAGAGTTTATTCAGCAGGCAAATAAAAGTTATTGTATTTTGCAATAAAAATATACTTCTCTCTTGTATAAAATATTTACATATTTTCAACCTTTTGATTGGAAAGTTAACAGTTAGAAGATAAGAAATTGAATACCTTTAATTGCTACCTGGTTTATATAAATCTTTGTTACTTTTCAATTGAATATAGATTCATAGCTTTTCTGAAGGTGAAGATAATGTACACGTTTGGTTGTATTCGTATCTGTGTTGAAACTGTTGAGACAATGCAAATGTTTCATGAGTTAGAATTATTATTATTATTATTTTTCCTTTGGGTTCCTAGTGGAACACACGGCTTCAGCAGCACGTCTGCATTCCACTTCGTTCTCTGCAGTCTTTTGAACCGGCTACACCACTGCCCACAAGCTCTCATTTCTTCCTCGCACCATCTCCCCAATATCATCCTCACCTCGGACACCCAACTAGTCGTTTTCCCTTGGATTCCAGTCTGTTCCGGTCGTAGATTTGGATCCAGAGCATCCTTCAGTCCCTCCAGGATGATGCAGCATAATATTTTGCTTGTAATGGACAGGAGCATGATTCCTTGCCAGTTCTTACAAAGGCTT